AGAAAGAAAGATACCCTAGCTTGTTCCAGCTTTGGTTTCCTAATAGGGGATGAAGCATGGTGGAGAGGAGACCTTAGGAGCAGGAAGTCAAGAATGCAGTCCTGGCAAAGGCTCAGGAAGGTCTAGGCAATGCCCCTTTAAACTCATTGTCCTAGAATCCTCTTCCACTCCAGGGTCACTCTAATCCTCAATCCCCCCCCCCATCATTAAATTCAGAGAGAATGTAAGCCCCTTGAGGGAAGAGACTTTAATTTTTGTCTTTGTATTGCCACCACCTAGCACATAGAAGGTATTTAATCAATGCTTGTTGATTGACTGACTGAGCAACATACATAGACATACGATGAGGACATCAACAGCTTGGGGATTGAGAACAGTGTCTCTTCCTCCAACATGTGCCTCAAAGGGCATTATCTTTCTTTTCTATTTTTGGTAAAGTTCCTCCTATTGAAATTTGCTATTTGAAGGCAAACTTTCACTCTCTGTAGACACTTGACAGTCAAGCTTAGTTGGGTTGATTCTGATGACACTATTTCCTCCCCTTTTAGACAGTCTACAAAGAAAATTAATTCTTGGGGAAATACTCACTAGGATAGTTAATCCACAGTAAGGCCTCTGACCAACTGGGACAGCCTCCTTACAACCCTAAACCTAGAAAATGACAACAAATTTCACAAGGACCAATCTTTCTTCACTATCTGCACATTGCTAATAGCATCTACCTGAGTCCTATTTCATAACTCCATGTGTTCTGATTAAGAATAACTAACACAGAAGGATAAATATTTACTGAATACAAGAATAGGAGCTCAGTGTGCCCCAAAATGTACAGGGCTACCCAAGTGAGAGCTATTAATGTTATCACGGCTGGGCAGCTTCTATATTTGAGAAGAGGTGGCACCAGTTCCAACAAGGCTACATGGCCAGATTGCTCCCTATGCTACATTCTACTTTTGGTCTGCGATTTCTAGCTAGGTCCCCGCCAACAGAATCCTAACTTTACTGTGACATTATCCATGGTCAAAATGGCTTAGAGCAGCATGGCAAAGTAGCTGACAGCAGTGGTCAAGAAGCAAGTATGTGGAGCGACCACAGGGACCAGTGTGGTTTTTGCCTGAATTTGTTTAGTAATAGGAGAATGAGAACTAGAAAAGTTTCGACACAAGCTGATAAACTACTGAATTATAAGTAATCATGATTGGAAGAGTCAGATAACAAGCATTCATTAAGTTCTTACTTAGTGCCAGACACTGCGCTTACCTAGGAATACAAATACAAGCAGAAAGTCCTTGCCCTCAAGAAGCTTACAATCTAATAGCAAAGACAGGACAAAAAAGTGAAATGTGGGAAGAAATAGGGGAGTTAATCTCTTAACATTTAATTTTTGCTGTAAGTAACCTTTTTCCTAATCTTTCATGAACCAGGAAGACTGATGGTTTCAACATCTCTGGAAAGTCATGTGTGTTGCTGTTGTTTAGTTGTTTAGTCATAGCCAGCTCTTTGTAACTCCATTTGGGGTTTTCTTGGCAAAGATACTGGAGTGGTTTAAACTGAGGCAAATGAGTAAGTGGCTTGCCCAGGATCACACAACTAGTAAGTAACTGATGCCAGATTTGAACTCAGGTCCTCCTGACTCCAGGGCTGGCACTCTATCCACTGATAAATCCACAGGACCACTTTCATTTTATTCCTGTTCTTCTCTGATCATTTATCTTCCTTCATAGAACTTAAGATCATAGATCTAGAACTTGAAGGGGCCTCAGATACCATCTAGTCCAACTCCTTGATTTTACAGATGAGGAAACTGAGGCCAATGAAAATTAAGTGACTTGTCTAAGGTCACACAGGTATTAAGCATCAGAAGTCGGATTTGCAGCTAGGTCCTCTGAATCCGGAGTCAGGATTGCTTCTATTGTCCTGTGTTGCCATTATCTATGTCTGCAACAAGCAGGCTCCCTGGTTGCATATCTTTATTTTTTAAGACTTTTTTTTGTTTTAAAAAATGTTATATTGAATATTTATTCATTATTAAGCACATTGTTTTTTAGATATAGAATGGTCTAGATAAGAACTTCTTAATATGAAGTTCATTAACTTCCTTTGAACATTTTATTAGCTGAATTTCAGGATAATTGGTTTCCTTTGTAATTCTATGTATTTTATTTTACGTATTTAGAACACAATTCAGAGAGGGGGTCCACAGGTTTTACTAGACTGTCAAAGCCCATGATACAAAAAAAATGATAAAGAACCCTTGGACTAGATAATCACTAAAGTTCCTTTCTCCGTTCTCAAACTCTGACCTCATAGACAAACAACTTAATGGTTATGAATTAAGTAAGTTTTTCTTTTTAGTACTATAAATATAATCCTTTGAAAATAAAATTCAGGATATTAAAAAGTTGCTTACGTGGCTTACCAGAAAGAAGCATAATATATAGCTCTACCATTTATAAAGGCACATTCAAAAGCTGTGTTGCCAGGGTATTAGCTGAAGTGCTGAGAACCAAGTCTGCTTAAAGTTCAGAAAGAAATTAAGTAAAAGGTTGACCTCACAGAAGTAGTATCATCAGTCATGGTTTCTGGGCAGATACCCACACAGTCTCATACCAATGATGTCTTTTTGCCTTCAAATACCAGTTGGACTGGTTACAACACTGCACACAGGATACATGGTCTTCAAGGGATAAAGATGATGAGGAGGTGACACTACCCTCCCATGGGTGTGTACAGAGTTGGCTTTTGCTGCAGCATAAGAATAAGAAGGCTAAGATTGCTAGGGATGAATGGAATCATGATCTGAGACCACCACAGCCTGTGCAGCTAAAGGGAAAAACTATATAAATACATGGAAGCCTAGAGATATATGGAGACATCATCCTTCCATTAGGAGATAGAAGTGACTGATATATTTGACATATATTACACATACACATATATGCATCTATAGGACTGTGAGGTCTGGGGATATATAATGTTTATACTTTAAGGATCCATGATTTCAGTGGCGTGAAACTCCTCACACTGATTTTTAGAGATGAGCTTTGAGAGTTTCTTGGCCAAAAAATTAATCACCTGTGGCTAACCTGGTGATGAGCCTTTCTGAAATAAGCTAGGCTGCTAGGTTGGTCCTGGGAACCAGCCAAAGTCATCAGGAACACAGAGTATATAACATACACACACAGAGTGCAGCACAGTGGATAAAGAGTTAGTTTCAGAGTCAAGAAGGCTTAGGTTCAAGGTCTGCCTTTGATGTACACTAGTTGTAGGACACTGGGCAAGAGACTTAATTGTTTCAGGCAATTCTCTATGACTGTATATGATGCAGAATAAGTGTCAACCTGCATTGATTGAAAAGTGTTTCCTCATGGGCGAATTCCTGACACTTATCGAATCATGAGTTGGTTTCCAAATATGTGTGTGACACACATACACATATGGGGGAGGGGAGGGAGGGAGGCAGAGAGAGAGAGAGAGAGAGAGAGAGAGAGAGAGAGAGAGAGAGAGAGAGAGAGAGAGAGAGAGAGAGAGAGAGAGAGAGAGAGAGCTCCAGCACACTACGTGGCATAATGAATTGAGTGCTGGACCTACAGTCAGGAAGTCCCAACTTCAAATTTGGCCTCACACACTTATTACTTGTGTGATCTTGGGCAAGTTACTTAACCACTGTTTGCCTCAGTTTCATCTGCAAAATGGGGATAATAATACCACCTTCCTCCCAGGTTTGTTGTGAGGATCAAATGAGATTGTATTTGCTAAGGGCTTTGCAAAACTTAAAGCACCATATAACTGTTAGCTGGCATTACTATTACTATATAATGAACACATTAGAGGAAGAGTGGCACAGTAGGCAGAAGACTAGCTTTGGAGTCAGGAAGCTCTGGGTTTAAGTCGTATTTTTAGCACATAATAGCTATGTAATCCTAGCAAAGTCACTTAAGGTCTACGGGCCCTAGGCAAAAGATCTGCATCATTGGAGTTTCCATAATGGGAGTTCCCTATGTCAATAAAATCATAGGTCCAGATCAAAAAATTCCATATGTACTATATGTTAGGAAATGTGTGTGTGTGTGTGTATGCATGCACAGACCTTCTCTTAGCCTCTTTGGGGTATATGTATATATATATATATGTGTGTGTGTGTATAATTATTATTATAATACAGATCTTTTGGAGGTAAATAACAATAATTGAAGGTTGAATAATAGATCTTTGATCTCAGTGATGAGAATATGCCCTCCAGTGGTTAAGGTTGCAACTAATTCATGCCTTTCCAACTTTAGGGCAGCTAGGTGGCACAGTAGATGGAGCATCAAGCCTGGAGTCAGGAAGATCTAATTTCAAATCCAGCCTCAGTCATAGCTGTGTCACCCTAGGCAAATCACTTTAATCCCATTTGCCTTGGCTTCCTCAACTATCAAATGGGGATAATAATAGCACATTTATCTCTTGGGGTTATTGTGAGGTTCAAATAAGATAATAACTGTAAAGTACTTAGTACAATGCCTGGAGCATAATAAATACTATATAAATGTTATTTATTATTACTTTCATTCTATGTGATTCATGTTCAAATTCTCCAATGAATCTTTCTCTTCAAGGTACTGAGATGCCCTGGGGTTTTTTTGGCTGTGAGTATAGGGCACAAACTTTGGCCAGTTCTGCCAAGGTGGAAAGGCTTTAAGTACAGATGTATCCCCTCTCTGACTGAGGACTAGCCTAGCTCTTCACCAGTGGAGTGGCCATGTGTGATGGTTTCCTAGGCTGGGGCAATTCATGAACAAAAAGGTATGCTCTGAAAAGTTTGTCCTAATGAGTATAGGATACCCTCAGATAATGGTATAACCAGACAATTTATTCTACAAAGAGACCCTCTACATACCAAGTATAAAAACCAAGGATCCATTTAGGCAGAGGAACTGCCAGTAGCTAGCCATCCAAATTCATTTTCCAGATGGAAATTATGTTAATATAAAAAAAAGACAATTTGACTCTGAAGCTGATGGTGGTTGAGAATGAGGAAAAGTTCTTTATTTGCAGGTTTTAGTTTTGATCCCTCTCTCTGATTATTTCCTGAATCTGAGAATAAAAAAGAAAAGCAAGTTTCTTTTTTCTTTTTCTACTTGTAATTACTATATAACATACTACTACCACTGGATTATGCTTGCTGAAACGATTATTTCTGTGCACAGGTGTACCTATCCTCTGAAAAGCTAGAAATAGAACATGAAGAGATAAAGGATATAACTGAGGCCTCTCTTTCACACATGTCTTTTGTCTACCCTATCGGGAAGTTCCAGCTTTTCTGATAGTGAGGCACAGTACATTGGGTACGGAGTCAAATCCTGGCTTTTGCTAATTATTAATAATGTGACCTTGAACAAGTTACTTAACCTTTCTGGGCTTCAGTTTACATAACTGTCTCAAAGGAGCTGGAGCTTTTCCTTGAAGGGTCCATTCTAACCAGTTCCAGCACCAGATCTATGATCCTATGATCACTACATCATAGAGATAACCATAAGGTTGAAAAAGCTCATTCTGATCTCGAGAACCACTGCTGCCATTTTGGGGTGTTCTTGTGTACCGATTATAAGTAAAAGGTTGGTTATATCATGGAAACTGAACCTAGATCATGTGACCCAGGATGGTGTGGACTGCTGGTTCCATGGTTCCTATCGTGGAGGTTGATCCCCATCACTATGCACAAGCAGAAGGCAAGCCAGGGCTCATAAATTTCTGACCCTCATACAGATACACACACAGAGGTTATACAGACCTATCCTAGGTATACCCCATTCTTCTACATTCATCTCCTGTTCACATATTAGTGTCTAGAAGATCAAAATATATGTATACACAAACACACATACACACATAAACGTGCCTCTTACGTTAAGGAAAATAATGCCAAGCTGTTCTTAACTCCCCCTCACTTTTACCTCAGAGCATTTCTGTGTCTTCACTACTCCCATCTTTCCTTCCTATCTCAGCATATGGCTGCTTTTTCCCTTGACTATTGCTTCTGTGCATTAGAATTTCTTGAGTCTTTCTCCTTCTCTTGGCTTTCGTGATTTTATACTGTTCTCCATTTCGGTTCTTTCTTTACTGGCTCCAAGTCCTATTCCCATGCTTTAAATACAGGCATAGCCCAAAGATCAGTGGACACTCAGATGACACAATGGATAGAGTGCCAGGCCTGAAGTCAGGAAGGCCCATCTTCCTGAGTTCAAATTTGGCTACAGATACTTACTAGCTGTGTGACCCTGGGCAAGTCATATAACCCTGTTTGCCTCAGTTTCCTCATCTGTAAAATGAATTGGAGAAGGAAATGGCAAACCACTCCAATGTCTTTGCCAAGAAAAACCCAAATGGGGTCATGGGGAGTTTGAAATGACTGAACAACAAAGCTGAATACTCTCTCCATACTCTTTTCCTAAGAATTCTACCTCAAGTTTGATCTCATTCAAGAGATCCAGTTATTAACTTCACAACTTTTTACATGGATATTCTGCTATCACCTCAAGTTTAAAACATCTAAGACTGATTTAATTCTTTTTCTCAAAAAGGCCACCATCTATCTAAAGAGTTATTTAGTCAAACCCTTTCATTTTACAGCTAAGGAAACTGAAGCTCAAATAAAAGTTAACTGACATGCTCAAAGTCATGGAATTAATTGCTGACAGAACTCATCCTAGAGCTTAGGTCAGGGGTGAGGAACCTAAGGCTTCCAGGACACATGTGGCCCTCTAGGTCCTCAGGTATGGCCCTTTGACTAAATCCAAACTTCACAGAACAAATCCTTTCATGAAGGGGGGATTTGTTTTATGAAGTTTGGATGTGGCCTGGAAGCTGCAGGTTCCCCACCCCTGGTAGGTAACCTGATTCCCAATCCATTATTTTTTCCACTGCAGTACACTGAAGCTAAGTTAGTACTGTTTTTGGAGACAGCAAATAAACTTGCTTCATATAGTCCTTCCATTTCACTTTTTCATTTCACTTGATGTTGCTTCATCTTCCCAGTTCTATCACTTCTATCTGAATACATCTACACCCAATTAAAAAACTCTCTCCATTCCATTAATGAAATCTTCCCCTTCTCTACTCTCAATACTAGATTCTAAGGTCCTTGGTTGATGTGAAGCTGATTCTAAAAATAAAGAATTGTTTTCTTTTTGGTCTAGTTCATACCTGCCACAGCAAAAAATACAAAGGATCTTCAGGCTGTTCATATATTAAGTTTTCAGTGACCCGCTAAGAGAGAGAAAGAGAGAGCACAAGAGGCTGATGTTAGTGCTAAGCTAAGCTCATGTAGTCAGGGTACATTTCTGTTTTCTACTAAACCACAAGCAGCCAAACAGATTTTTAAAAATTAATATGCTTCCCCTAAGTAAGTACATGTACTTCCTAAGCTTTCAGAGACTAGTGAGAGGTTCCCTGGGGCAAATCTGTCCTTTGTTCTGGTTGCCAGTCCCCTGCCTTCTTGGTTTCCTGGAGCACTTCCTGGTCTTTCTCATGACATGAGAACTCACATTCTCTCATCCCCAAACCCTAATCACCAACTTCTTCCCTGAGAGGAACTATCTTATTAGAACTTGGAAGCTGGTGGGACGGATTGCACAAACTAAGAGAATGATAATTTACTTCTGGAACATAAGAGACATCTTTTAGATAAAATGATAATTAAAATTTGGATTTATGTGGGATCTTCTGAGAAATTTGAAGTGTTCCACGTATACTCTTAGTTAACCTCATGAATACAGGAATCTTCCCCTTCAGAATCAAAGAGCAGAGGTCTGCCAGAACATAAAGGGAGACTTTCTTCATTAAGCTGTGGAGGAACACTTATAGGGATGAGTTCCTCTGAAGACTATTCTATCTAAGAAAGTTCTGCTTTAAAGAAGAGTTCATCTGGTTTTTCTCTAACTAGGAGTGAAAATTTAACGATTTCTAAGATAAAGATTTTTTTTCCTTTTATTTGTTGCATTTTAAAGCCTTTCATACTTTATATCAATTGGAATAGTAAATTCTTTACCTTCTGGATAATACTTTCAGATACTACTACTATACTGCATATTATTTTTCCAATGGACTTTACAAAACTATGCTAACCTTAAATAAAAGGCATTGCATGTACACAATAAAGGTTATACATTAATAATATTAATAGAAAGTATACTAATCAAAAGCAGTTGATGAAAAAATCCAAAGTAATTATAAACTTGAGAATCCAGTCTTGTAATTCCATTTTACTTAAAGAATGTCACCATTAAAGATGGGTCCACACCCTGAAAGTCAACAAGTTTTATTATTTCTACAAAAAAGTTACCTTTAAACACAGTTTTAGTCCAAAAGAATGTAGATTATGGGGTGGTCATTCAACTGATAATATATTTGTCTGTACTACTGTCCCAGTCTAGAATGTCCTTCCCCCTCCTCTACAATTTTTAAATAATTAAATCCTATTCATTTTTCAATTCAAAGTATAGATTAAGTCCTAAATGCTTTTCCCCAGTCTTTCAGCCCACAGGTAATCTAGACTGCTTATCCCCCATTCATTTAACACAATCATTTACTACCTAGTATTGTTAATTATCCCAATTAGACCATGACTTAAGAGCAGGGATTACATTCTTTGGATCCTCAAGCTAGCACAGTACCTTCAACACTAGTAGGTGTTCAATAACTCAAATGAACTTTCCCCTCCACTGTTACTTAAAATTTGTGATACAATACAATACCAGCCAGGTAAAAACTTGTTCTGTTTAACTTAGTGTGGAAGTCAGTTGATGAAGAATATGGAGAGGTTCACCTGGAATATTTGAATAATGTTGTGCCTTTCCAAGTATCTCTCAGCTACTTCAAAAGGGTCTTGAGATGCTAAAGAAGCATTTGATGATTGTTGGAAACTGGATCCCAAAACTTCATCACTACCCAAAGTCACATTTGATAAAGATGGTGGAAGACTATCTATCTGCAATGTAAATTTAAAAAAAAAATCTGTTCAATAAATCTCCAAATTGCAACAACTTCCAAAGTGGTAGGAGGAAGCCTAGGACAAAGAACTATTTAAAAATATTAAATATTTGTTGCTGAAAAAGTAGATTTCCAAGAGAGACCCAACTCACCTTCAATTAGGTGAAGAACTTTTTCCTGGGGTAAGGGAATGGATAAAATGATCTCATTTTTTCAACCCAAAATCAGGGCAGAGGACTTGATGGGGTGTGTGTGTGTGTGTGTGTGTGTGTGTGTGTGTGTGTGTGTGTACAGGACTGAATTTTAAAAATGAAAACCTTTCTGGATTGGTTACTTTGGGCATAGAGCTAACACACTTTTTCCTTCTTTATTGCAGCCAGGATTCAAACCCAGGTCTCCCTACTCCAAATCCAGCACTCCTTCCAATATACCACACACCTTCTCTTATTCAATACTGTCAAAGTGCAGTGAGTTACTGATGAAAAAATGTCCCATAAATATAATTTCTTAACTCCCTCGGCTCCCCCACCCCACCACCCCCCAAGCTTGCCCAGGGGCACCCTGGAATAAATTATTTTGTCTCAAAATGCAAGGAGAAAGAGGGATTAATTAAGACTCTGAGAGCTGAAAGGACTTGCCCACCGTTGAAGAACTTGTAGGCCCAGGGAGAGAATTTAAAGACCCCTCCATCCCCATCTCTGCACCCCTGCCAATCCACATCCGGCCAAACTAGCTTGAAGGGACCCCCACCCCCAGCCCCACCCCCACCCCAGAAGCTTCGGCCTCCTTTCCCCCACCACACTGGAGGGGAAAAAGGAGGGGCGAGGCTAGCAAATGGAGGGTCACATAGAAGAAGTCAACGTTCGGCTTCATTCGGAAACATTCTTCCCCATCCCGGCAGCTTTCGGAAGTAGGGGGTGGAGCCATCACCGGAAGTCTCAGCCCCCTTTTACCTCGTACTCTATTTGGGAGACGGTGCTCGATGGTATGGTACTATCCTGTTGGCTTAACTTGTCCAAGCCTTCTTCTTCGAAGTTGTAGTCGCTAAAATTAATGTTGGAAGCTTCGATTTTCGATGTTTCTTCAGGACTGGGTGAGATCTGGTCGAGTGACTGTGTGTCTGATGGCACCTCCATCTTCTCTGTTGACCCCAAAACTCATCCCTCCGTCTCATGACGCCGCTGACCTAGTTTGTCTCCTTTAGCACACCGTAGCCGGGTGCCGGGAGGCCCGTGGTTGTCGTCCAGATTTTTGCGTCACGTGGTCTTTGTTGCTCTGTCAGACTTGGAGCTGGGGCTGCCGGTAAGAGCGCCCCCTAGGCAGGGGCCCAGGCAGTGCAGAGCCTCCCCTCCCCTATCCCAGGCTCACGGTCCACGGCGGGAAGTTACACGGAGCACCTGGGGTGGGTCTCTTGGACGGCCTCCCTGTTGTTCCCTGCCAAGAGATCCTCTTCTCCTGGAATCTCAGAGAAATCCCGAGATGAGGAAGGGAGCTATAGAGAAATTCAGCTGGCCCATCACGGTAGGGGTCGTTAGTTAGCAAGGCGAGTTTCGTTTGCTTTGCCTTTTTATTGAGCATGTATGTCCAACCATATAACTACCCAGCTGTTCTGTTTCTCTCCTGAATATAAGGTGATCTCTGGAAAGAGGCCCAGAATTTACTACGAACATTAAATGTTGGGACTACAAAGATGTAGATTGACGGCCCCTGCCTTCAAGGACCTTATAGATTAGCTAGCTAGCATTTATTTAGCACTTTACAAATGTCTCATTCATCCTCACAAAAAACCCTGGGAAGAAGATGCTATTTTACAGAGGAGAAAACAAGCAACAGAGAGGTTAAGTGACTTGCATTGGGCCACACAACTTGGAAGTGTGAGGTTGCATTTAAATTTAGTCTTCCTGATTTTCTAGTTTTCTATCCACTACCTCTTAGTTTGCCTCCAGTTAAGCTTGGAGTCAACAGATTGGCTTAGCATCTGCAAACAGTTGTACTTGATAAGTTATGGTGGGGTCAAAGGGGTCAATCAAAGTGTTATGAGAAGTTAGAGGAGTGAGAGATCTTGTTAATTTGGTCAATGTTAGGAAATTTGAGGAGTGAGACCTAGGAGTATGAGGAAAGGAGAACAAGTTACTCAGTACAGCAGCAGCCCTTCTTCCTCCATGGTGGTCAGCTACGACCCCCAATTCTGCAGCAACCATGTTGAAAGGACCTGCTGTTGGCATTGATCTTGGCACCACTTACTTCTGTGTGGGAGTCCTCCAATATGAGAAAGTGGAGATCATTGCTAACAACCAAGGATACAGGCCACCCTAAGCTATGTCACCTTCACTGACACAGAATGTTTAATTGATGATGGTGCAAAGAATCAAGTTGCAGTGAACCCCACTAACACAGTTTTTGATGCCAAACATCTGATTGGTCACAGATTTGATGGTGCAGTTGTACAGTGAGACATGAAGCATTGGCCTTTCTCGATGGTGAATGACGCAGGATGGTCTAAGGTGCAAGTGGAGTACAAAGGAGAGACCAAAAGTTTCTATCCAGAAGAAATATCTTCTATGGTCTTGACCAAGATGAAAGAAATTGCTGAAGCTTACCTTGGGAAGACTGTAACAAATGCTGTGGTCACAGTACCAGCCTATTTCAATGATTCCCAATGTCAGGACAGTGAAGATGCTGGAACCATTGCTGGTCTCAGTGTGCTCTGAATCATCAATGAGCTATTGCTATTGCTTAGCACGTGGACAAAAAGGTTGGTGCTTAGAGACATGTGTTGATCTTTGACCTTGGAGGTGGTACTTTTGATATCTCCATTCTTACCATTGAAGACGGCATCTTTGAGGTCAAGTCCACAGCTGGGGACACCCACTTGGGTGGGGAGGACTTTGACAACTGAATGGTCACTCATTGCTGAGTTCAAGCAAGAGCACAAGTGAGAACAAGAGGGCTGTTCGCTGTCTGCGCACCACTTGTGAATGTGCAAAGCATACCCTCTTTTCTAGTACCCAGGCCAGTATTGAGACTGACTCCCTCTGTGAAGGTATTGACTTCTATACATTAATCACCTGAGCCCGTTTCAAAGAGCTGTATGCTGATCTCTTCCATAGCACACTGGACCCTGTGGAAAAGGCCTTAAGAGATGCCAAACTAGAAAAATCACGGATTCATGACATCACAGATTCATGACCTTGTCCTGGTAGGTGGTTCCACTCAAATCCCCCAAATGCAGAAGCTTCTACAAGACTTCTTCAATGGCAAGGAACTCAACAAGAGTTATCAGTCCTGATGAGGCTGTTGCCTATGGTGCAGTGTCCAGGCTGCCATTTTTTTCTGGAGATAAGTCTGAGAATGTGCAGGACTTGGCAGCTGTTGGATGTCACTCCTCTTTCCCTTGGAATTGAAACTGCTGGTGGAGTTATGACAGTTGTGATCAAACAGACAGACCTTTACTACCTATTCAGACAACCAGCCTGGTGGTGTTTATTCAGATTTATTAAGGTGAGAGAGCAATGACAAAGGATGACAACATGCTTGGCAAATTTGAGCTCACAGGAATCCCCGCCAGCATCCAGGGGTGTCCCTTAGATTAAAGTAACATTTGACATTGATGCAAATGGCATCCTCAGTGTTTCTACTGTGGATAAGAGCACAGGCAAGGAGAACAAGATCACCATCACCAGTGATAAAGATGGTCTTAGTAAAGAAGACATTGAGCATATGGTCCAGGAGGCTGAGGAATACAAGGCTGAGGATGAGAAGCAGAGAGACAAGGTGTCTTCCAAGAATTCTCTTGAATCTTATGCTTTCAACATGAAAGCTACTGTAGAGAATGAAAATCTGCAAGGCAAAATTGGTGATAAAGACAAACGGAAGATTCTTGACAAACGTAATGAAATAATCAACCAGCTGGATAAGAACCAGACTGCTGAGAAGGAAGAATGTGAGCATCAGCAGAAAGAATTGGAGAAGGTCTACAACCCCATCATTACTAAGCTGTACCAGAGTGCAGGGGGCGTGCCAAGAGGCATGCCTGGTGGGTTCCCAGGGGGTGGAGCAGGCCCATTTGGAGGTGCTTCTTCTGGACCCACCATTGAAGAGGTCGACTAAACACACCAGAAGAAAGAACATTCCACACAGCTTTCTAAAAATTGAAGAGCTCAAATTTGTAGCCAAGGCAATAGCAGTTTAAAAGTAACATTTAAGCTACTGTGTAAATCTGGGCATTCTGAATACTTGATTCAATGTGTGTAGAAAGAGAGAAGTGAACAACATTGCACTTTATCAGTACTGTAAACAAGTGGAAATGCAATTCTTGTCCTGGAGATTGACACAATTAAAAAGAAAAGAAAAGGAGAACAAGGTTGCATTTTTTCCCAGAACTATTGGAATAACTTCCCTTGGGGCATACCCCTCAGCTTAATGAATAAATATCAAAATAGGGAAGGAGGGCTGTTCCTGGCTCGTAGACAAAGTGCTGGAAGGTACAAATTTAGAAATGTTCTAGTTCAATCCCCATTTTACAAATAAACAGTCTTAGTCAAGTCACTTACAAGTCCTGAGCCAGTGTTCTTTTCACTGTGCTGACTACTATTTTCTTACTTCTTCCCTACCCTTTCTCTTTTTGCATCTTCATATATATCATTGAACTTGCTTTCAGATAACAGTTAGGGAAGGGAGGGTTGAGAGTGGTGGCATATCACTTGACCTAGTGACCAGTAAAGAAATGATTTTTCTTAGTCAATTTCTAGTCAAGCTACTAGGTTTACATTGATATTGGACTGAATCTTAAGTTTCCTTTAGGGTTAGGCTGAGGGTCTTGGGTGTTCACTCTCAAAAGCACATTCTGGTCTCAGCTCTGTTGTCAGCTGATCATGTCAACCTGCATAATCCTCTACCTTCCCTGAGCCTCTGTTCTCACATCTCTAAGATGGGAATAATAAAGTCACTTTAAAGGGAACTTTATGTTGGAGACACAATGAAAAGTACAAAAAGATTATGTTGGGGTGAGGGATGTTTTAATATTCTCAGTATTCCTATGCTGGATTATTCCAGTATCTCATTGTAGCATGAAGGTAGCCTTGGATTCTCCAGACAGTACAAATGTAACACTAACTTTGACTAGGCTTTGGTGAGGGTATCTTCAGCTATAATCTACGAAGGAGCCCACTTAAGTTCTGAGAGGTTAGAGGGTCAGGCTGGCCAACAGGTGTTAAATTTTTTTGGATCTTGGATTTCACAAAGAATGTCAACTAGGAAAAGGTTTGGGATCTGCAGTGGTGCACAGGTGTGTCTGGGATGTACTTTTAACTGTTTAACATATGACTCTCCAGTAAAAAAACAAGTATGCATGACATACTTTTAAGATTAACATTTTATCCATTGTTTTCTTATGTGTAGATAACCATCCTAACAATGAATCAAGTCCTGATGCATTCAGTCACTTTGCAGTCATGTCTGACTCTCTGTGACCCCATTTAAGATTTTCTTGGCAAAGATACTAGAGTGATTTGGCATTTCCTTCTCTAGCTCATTTTACAGATGAGGAAAGTGAAGCAAACAGGGTAAAGTGAACTTGCCCAGGGTCACAAAGTTAGTCAAAGTGTCTAAGGCCAGATTTGAACTCACAAAAATGAGACTTGCTACCTACAAGTCCAGCATCCTCTCCACTGCACAACCTATGTGCCTTTCTGGATGGGCAGTTTTTGCCAAATTCCAAGGTATAAATGCTCACCCTGACGATTTGTTTATTTATTTAAATTTTTTTTTTCACCCTGGTAATTTAACAATCAGTTGCAAGCAGAGTTCTTGGCACGTGATATATACTTGTGGGTTGAATTATGAGAGTTGACCAAATTTGCATAGAGAGTAGGTAGCAGAGCTTGGGTTCGAATCTCTCCTACTAACAAGGAAAGCCAGAGAAGCAGTTACATGGCAGAAGGTATAGAGTACCAAGCTTAGAGTCAGGAAGACCCAAGTTGAAATCCAAAGAAAAAAAGAAGTGACTGAATGGAGAATCTCAATGGTGGTGATATTCTGAGTGGAAAGAAGCAGAGAGATGAGAGTGATGTTGAAATAAAATCAGCAAAACTACTGACATATGTGGGGGAATGACAGAAAGTTTTTTCGTATTCATTTTTAAGTTAAAGTTTTCCAATTATATAGCTGACTCCAGTATGCCCACTTTTGTGTCTCTGACATCAGAGAAACCATGGATAA